CTTCCTTTTGGGAAATTATACTGTTGTCTGTTACAATTTGCACTGTAGCTTTCGTGTCATCTTTTCTCATCTGTCATGTAGTGATTCTAAAAGGTATGGTCTTATTGGTTACTTGTATCTTGCCATGGTAAAAAGCTTACTCAGAATTGATTTTATCTCCTTGCCACAGAAATGTGATTATTTTAAGTTTACTACAAGACATTTCCCTCCTTCTGAAAAAGGCCGTTACAGAATTTCTTCACAAAAGGCTTGTTTGCTACCCACTTGAGTCTTTGCATTCTTTTTTAAAGCCAAAGGGGATTCAGATGGTTGTTTAGGTACCGCCTGCCATCTTAAGTGATCCCTTTGAAAAATGGGGGCACCAAATACCTTGGCCTTCACCTTATATATTAACTGGGAATTCTAGAAATTGAAATTTCAACACATTTGGAGGGTACCAGATGAGGGAAGGCTGCTTCTGTTAGGCCACAATATTGCAACCACTGTGGAAGTCACAGCTCACACATTGCTTCCCTGTACATACCTCATAACAATTCAATGATCCTAGATTCATGACCTACAGATCATCCTTACCTATTTTTCTGTTATATGCATGTTTGTCTTCTGCTTCCTTCAGCTGTCCTGGATTATTCACATTGCACATCTCCTCCTGTTCATCCCTGCACTGTTACCTTAACACCCCAGGACCACATGGTTCTTCTGAGCTGCTCTAACTTTTAAGATTTATGGCACAGTCCTTGCCAGATTTTTCCTTTCCTTATGGAATCTGGACTGCAAAGGTTCTTCTGCTAATAGATGGACTTCCTGGTCAATGTCCTCAAGATTCTGTATCAGATACTTTATCCCATTATTAGTGTGTTTATATAGATATAGGAACAAAGTATTGCACTGATGCTCTCCCACCAGGCATCAGCCCACATTTGAGCATGTGGATTGGGGCAATGCACAAACTAACCTATATCCAATAGGAAATCTTGATCAACCCTATATTATCTTCCTTACATCATGCTTTTACACGCAGGGGAAATATATGACCAGCGGGCAGAGTGCATGACCAAATACATTCAGTCCTATTGTTAGAGGCTTAATTATTAGAAGGAACTATAGAGCCCAGATTTTTAAAGTGCCTGGAAAACACCTGTCTTATTATAGCAGATGCTTTCCCAGATCAGAACTATATTTTTATTTTTAGATGCACACAAAATAGCTTAAAAAAGGCATCAATTAGATTTATGAGACATAAACATTATGTGTCTCTTGATTTCTTCCTTTTTTCTGCTTGTTTGCATATTGAAAGTAACATGATTCTGACAGAGCCACAGTACCATAGGCCTGCCATCCAGATGCAGATGACTATCAGAACTCCTAGCCACCACACCACACAAACATACCGTATTAGAAAGTAGGAGGCTGAAGGAGGCTGTACTTTGTCAGTTTAATACGTAAAGTGCTGGGTGAGGACTGGGGAGCCCTAAGTTCAAAACCACCCTGAGTTATAGAAACTCACTCTTAGCCCAACCTACCTTACGGAGTTGCTGTTAGGGAGAAAAAATGGAGGAAGGAGTGCTAGATAGGCTACCTTGAGTTCCTGGAGGAAAGGCAGAATACAGATCAAACAAATACAATATCTTCCACATTTCTAGAAGAGTTGAGTGCACAAGCTTACCACATCTGCCTAATGTTCTCTTTAATACTTTTGAAGTTTGTGTCTTTACCCTATTTTTTTCTGGATGAGAGCTCTGTCTCTGCACAGTGGCACTGGAAACGATAAATCCCAGAGACATAGAGGAACACCATTACTCAGAAATGTGTGTGCCCATGTAAGAAGAGTAATGGTGGGGGGGGGGAGAATTTCCTTAAATATTTAGGATAATTTTTCATCCATAGTATCTATGTAGTCATTCAACTTGGCAAAATGGAAGAATACAAGCTGGGGATGACTCTGAGGCTCTTGGACATTTGGTAGAGAAGAAAGTACACTAAAGTAGTGACATACTATCAACAATTCCTGGAAGCTTGAGATAAGGTTTGGATTAGGAAGCAAACCACTCAATGTTTTCCCTCCATTAGAGATGAACTATCTGGCTCTTAAATGATACCTTCTATATTTTCTCACCTAGTATAATTTGCTTTGAAAGCAGGAATCACATCTGCTGAAGTACTATTTTAGATATTAAAGAATTTGCTATATTAAAATAGTCCTTTTCTACAAACTTAAGTAAAAACCAAAGATAATACTAGCTCGGCTTATTTTCATATAGATGTTTGGAATGTCAGCTTTCTTAAAAACTTGTGCAAATCTGGTGTAAGAGAATTTGGCAAGGTAGTATCTCATTATCAGCAGCTTCCTTTTAACTTTTTTTTTGCAAGTAAAACCAGTTTCACTGTCAATTCTTGAAAAAACACTTGGGATTTATTGATTTAAACTGCAAACAGTCGTTACAAAAGATTCTCTTAAATAAACTCACACAAAGGAAAAAGGAAAAAAAAGCAATGTAGTGAACAGTAATGGGAAAAATTACATTCAATGTGTTCTTTGTGCCAGTAATGTTTACCTTAAAAAGAGGAAACACTCCATTCTTGGAATACAGAAATGCAAAGACAAACTACATTTGGAATGTCTTTAGACAGGCACTTGAAACCAAAGGGTAATTTTTTTTCCTTTTAAATACTTACAAAAAAAAGGAAGCAAAAGATCTTCCTTTTCATCGTCTCACAGCACAGCTTATGCGTATACATTCTAGAGGCCAGCAGTGAAATCCTCATTCTACTGAAGTCACTGACAAAATCCTCCAATGACATCAGTATGGCTAGAATTTCACCCCACCTGGGAGAGGCCTTGTTGGGCAAAGAAAGGCAAAGAAGCACATGAAACTCAATTTGCAGTCTGACAGAAAAAGGGGAACGATCTAAAATAAATAATCCAAACACAGTTGTTGCATTTTTTAAATTAAATTTTCATTTTTTAAAAATAAAATAACCAAAAAAAGTGTAAAGTTACAAAAAATGTCATTGTAGTATAATATATTAAACTGTGGGGGAGGGGGAAAAGAAAAAGACTTCACAATCTTAAGATTAATATGGAAGATCATAATTTAAACATAAAAGAATATATTCTATGAATTCATCATCCAGATAAATATGAACAAAATTAACAAAAAAGCATAGGTTTCAGCAATAAATACGTTTTGATAAGTTAAATAAGCTTTATATTGTTGTGCAGTGACAAGCAAAATTTGCTCTCCAATTTCTGAAGTTATACAAAATTAAAAACCCAGGAAAAAAAATAAAAAGCTTGGCGTGAGTGCTCTATGGATAGGTCTATTGTACTCTAGAGCAAAAACCATTAAAGCTATGACTACTGGAACTTTGTTTACACAGAACTTGCATGTGTGGAATGAACACCGTTAGACACCCCTCCCCTCCCCACTTTTTGTGAAGATGTCACATGTACATGCGGAGAGCCTGTAGCACCAAAAGCAAGTCGTTCACTGTCCATCTGGCTTTACTCTCCATTTACCAAGTCCCACGCATGTTAGAGTGAACTGTCCATTCTAAACTGTTCTTCTGGCTGACCTGAGTTGAGTCAGGCAACTAGCCTTTATAAAAGGTGGAAAGGATTGGATGTTAACAGATGTCCACCTGCCATTTGTCTACTGAACACAGGCAAAGGAGGGGAAGACAAAGAGGAAGAGTTTTCTGCATCTGAATTGCTGCTGGTGACAGGAGTTGCTAGTTCTGGATATTCCTGCACATCTGGAAATGCAGAGCTCTATAGAGGCTGCTGGTGCCCTCTGCAGCTGGAGAGGTAATATAGTCACAGTGAACATATTAAAAGGCACTACACTTGTAAACGATTATCACTTTTTTTTGTAATTTGGCACTTTCGGTTTCAGCCAGTGTCTGGACTCTAGGCAGGTGGACAGTCTTGGAGTTAACATCAAACCCAAAGATGCTAAGGGAGATTTAGGAGAGGGAGGGGGCTATAAGCTTAACATTCTAATACATGTGGGAAGAGGCCAAAAGGCAATACCAGATTATTCATCAGAGATGGACAGTCTGCTGAAGATGGGAAGACGTCTTGAGGTGTCCAGGATAGGCGAATCCGAGCCGCTGTGGCTGCTGCTAGAGCTGCTCAGATAACCTTCCTGGTCAGAGAGGGAGTCCTGTGGACTCGGAGGAGAGTCAAACATATTTGGGGACTCAGACATGGGTCTAAGGACGAAAGCAGTGGGTGAGCCCCCCCCAGGCACCTGCATCCCCATACTAGGAGCAAAGAGATTGGTCAGCTCCTGGCTGGAGAAGGTGAATGGATTGCTGGCACAGTCAGGCAGAGTAGGAGAACCCAGGAGGTCATCAGCACTTATGATGGGTGGAGGGGTTATTGAGGTGGGGCTGTCCAGCAGCCCATTGGCAGCAACAGCACTTGGGAAACCAGCGAAGCTGAAACTGTGTTGGAGGCGGGGTCTTTCGGCAATCACAGGCTCTCGACCGCCACCAGCTACAGCCCGGCGCTCCTCAGCATTGTGGATGAAATGACAGCGAGGCCCGTAAGGGCAGAAGCCAATGGTATGGAAAGTGCGACACAGCTCCGTCTTGTACTTGGGATGGCGGGTCAGACTTCGCAGCTCATGGATGCCGTGAGCAAACTGGCACTTGTCTCCATATTTGCAGGTCCCATTCTCCTCAAACGGGCGGCACAGCTCCGTCTTGTAGCGACTTGAGTTGACTTGCCCACCAGGCTGCTTTTGCTGAAGCAGGCGCTCGCCACCTTCAGAGAAGGAGCGGTCCCGGAAGCGGCTCTCCCTGGGCCCCAAGGCTGGGGCTGGCTCTCCCTTAAGGCTGCTAAGGAGAGGGGTCTGATGGAACTTTGAATTGGGCAGGGTGACAGAATGCCTCCGGGGGAAACCCCCACCAGCCGGAGTTCCTACCGCCTTCCTGTCCAAAAGACACCCTCCAGCAGCTGAGGGGCTGTAATTCAGCATCTTGTTACTCTGGAAGGAGGAAGTAAAAAAGCAGTCAGCAATCCAGCTTTCCCCTTGATTTGTTGATGCCCTTAGACCTGGTCACCGTACCACCCTCTTTCCACAGCTGCACAACTGATCTGCCAACAGTAAAACGACTAAAGCTCTCCTCTGCATCAGACACGTCAGACAGTAGGAAGCACACACTACTAGTCACAAGCAACTCAGCTTTGCAACGGCTTTCCCTCAGGTTCATCTTTACTGTATCAATGAAACACATTTTGATTAGTCTTGTTCTAGGCAAAGATCTATCACCCTATAACAGGAAAGAACATCAGCCATAATCTGATCATCACAGCATACTACTTTTCTGAATATTGGCTATAGACTTCCTTAATGATTTATGCCCAAAAGCCAAGCATAATTTTAACATAATTGTCCTCCAAACCCATACCAATATCGCTCTAATGTGAAAGAAGGAGGCATCTGGAGAGAGGAATGGCCAGATCTTTTTCACGAACACTTTCAAGTCTATCTTTCCAGCAATCCAAAACCTATTTCTTGGCAGGAGGGAGTCTATGTAAGATTTTTATAAAGAGGTATGAGCCTTGGAAAAGATAGACTTTCTCAGTTAGTATCATTGTGCCACTTCACTTTCTGCAAAGGAATTGCATTTCATGTGGTTCATACAAGACTTCATGTCTATACAGATTCCTTTCCAATTAGTTTTCTGACCCTGCAGAGGAATCAATCTGAGAAAAAGTTCAAGCAACTTTTAGCTTGGGTACATGTGATGCTCAATCTAAAATACTTTATTTCAAAATCGATTGTGTGTCTGTATTATACGCATTTAACAAAGAGGGAAACCAGATGCAGAACACACCCACACCAACTCACTTTTGCAAGTGGTTAGCAATACCCAAGGACGCAGAAACAACAGCACAAGTTGGGGATTCTGTTTCTCAAGTTAAGGAAGTTACTGGCTCTTCCCACTGCCTTACACTCTAAGCAATCAACAACTCCTCACAAACTTAAGAAATGCATCCACCCAACGACTGCGGCTAAACAAAGATAAGCTGGCGAGAAAGAGAAAAACGTAGCCACATGAGTGGGCTGAGAGATAAGAAAAGCAAACTGCAGAAAAAGCGAACTAAGTAAGCAGGCTAGAAAATGAGGAGGCGGGAGGGGGCGGGGTGACTAGCCTGTAAACGGTATTTTGCAAAAGCCTGAAGCCAGAACCTCCTCCTCCCCCTACCTTCCCGTCGCAGAGGCTCGATTTCCCTTTCGAGCAAGCTGAGACCGTAAACGTGCAACAGCGGCGCACCAAGCTTGCGGGAAATTCGTGGCAACAGCCATCTTTCTCCACCCCGAACAAACGTGGTGTGCGGCCGAGTAAGTAATCGCAGCAACTTTCCAACCCAGGCCATAAAGCGACTCCATAAATCCTAGAACTCGAGCGCAGGGCTGCAAAAGGTTGCAAAAGATTTTGCATTCCAACACATGGGGGGAGGGGGCGGCCAAGAGGAAACACGCCTTAGTCCCAAGTACCGAATTTAGGATGAAGCGACGCTTCCACAGGCTGCCTCCCGCAGTTTAATAATGCGAGCCTTTCAAAATGGAAAACTTTTCCGAATTCATCGGGTGAATAGCGCAACCCTTCTAAACTTGCTTCCAAAAACACGGGCAAAGTTACAGGGCGATCCAGCGAACTACTGAAAACGGGAAAGTTCGAGACGTCCGATTTTTAAACCTCGAAATAATTCAAAGGAGAGCTGAGCAAAACAATAAACAGAACTACCGAAAGCCCATTGTAAAACACTTCCCCACCCACTCACCCCCAAAAGACTTAGCGCTCCAGCAATTCAACTAAGACTTGGGGCTCAACAAGGACTTTCCTAAACAACTCTCCCAAGTAACTTCTCGGATCTCCGAGCGGTTATTAAGGCCAAATACAGCTTATGCTGTTTTAAAACACGCACGTCTGCTCAAACTTTAATTTCTTAACTGTTGAATACGGAGGGAAAAAGGAAGGGGACATTAGATGTAGAATGAGAGAAATCCTGTTTACTCTCCCGAAGCAATCGGAACAAAAGCTTTATTTAAAAGTTTTAGAAGATAATGCGGGAGGCAACTTACTTTGCATAAAACTTCACTCAAGTCGAAGATTGTTGGAGACACGAGGGCTGTAGACATCTTCAACTAGCAAAAAGAGGAATGAAAAATTGGAGTAGCTCTAACAGAAAAACAAAATGAATCAGTGTTGTAAGGCACAGCCTCCAGTTTCCCTGGGACGGACTCCCTTTTGCCCCCTCCAGCTCCAACAATTCCCCTTTCTCGTTCCTTCCAGAAGAACTTACCAAAAAGCTCGATTTATAGTTTCAGCCCTTACGCCGTGGGAGGAGTTCTAACTTTATTTAAATGAGAGAGGCGGAGGGAGCCGACGATGAGAAGGAAGAGGGGATCACCTAGTGGGGTCAGGCCGACCGAAAGCCCTTCAGGACGACGGGAAAGAAGAGGGGGAGGGCCTTGAAGCTCTTGTTTTTAATTTGGGGGAAAAGTTTTGAAGAGAGTAGTGTTTGTACAAGTTACCTCTAATTAGGCGACGAAGGAAGGGCTAGTTAAGCCTCTTTTGTCGGGACTTGAGTGTAACGTGACGTTATTCTCTGCCCCCGATGCGGAGCCCCCCCCTACTTAAAGGCGGGATCAATTGTTTCCTCGAGAAATGTTCGGGGGTTCCTTCGAACTTTCGGGCGAGCGCGAGGGCTCTTGCAGAGTTTGGGCTCTTTCACTTTCCTCGCCCCTCTGCTGCTGAGGGATTTGGTGTTTTTTTTCCTGACTGTCGGATCGATGCAGTACAGTCATCTTGAAGGCGTGGGCAGTTGACGCCCACCTCTCAGGGAGCCAGGCTAGCTGAATCCCACGGGACTTACTTCTGAGTAAGCAAAGCAAGAATGGGAGCTGGCTGCGCGTTTTTGATTCTAGACACGTTTACTCGGAAGTAGGTTCTGGTCAAAGCAAAGGTTGAGGTCTTCATAAATCTCGGTAGGTTCAGGACATAAAGAACTCAAATGAGCTTCGCGCCGACCGTGGTACGAAGCTACATCGAGTTTAAACTATATCGAGTTTGTCCCCCTCCACCTATTTTTTATGTAATACTGATTTTCTGAGTTGATTCTTAAAAAGTCCGGGACCAGAAACGATTGTGGTGTTCCAGTTTAAAAGCGACTGTAATCAAGTTTGGGGGGGGGGGAGGAAAGATAAAAGATTTCGAGAAAATTCCACGAACCATTTGCCTAAGTTCCCGTTGGAAAATGCCTTGCTGTGTTTTTGCGTTTCCCCACCCGCTCTGCAGTTTTTACAGGGACTCTCTTCGATTCCCACATTGCTAACGTGCGTTTCTAAAAAGGGCACCGATTTTTTTAAAGTGCTTTTATGTTTATTTGAATAACAGGCTTCCAGGGTTGCACTTTTATCTCTGGCCTTGCCTCCGTTTCTTTAATTGAGTATCGGATGGTTTCCCGAGTCGGGTTTTGTCCCCTTGCTTTTGGCGCGATTCGAGTTGGGGAAGGGACACATTCATCGGAACGTGACTTACGCCGCGATTTGCATCTGGGAGGGGAAAGGCATTGTCGACTGAATCCGTTCCCCCGCTGCCTTTAAGTTGTGGAAGAAAGGGCTAGACTGAAGTGGAGCTGCTAATATTTCCTTCCTCTTTCCATGTGACCTCGCAACAGAAGTCTCACCTACACAGATGGTTGCGGCACAACACTTCAGAGCGCTCGGCCTGTTAGGAAACGCGGCGCCTTGAGTGCAGTTTCCATCGCTGCGTAATGAGGCCACTTGCTAGCCGCATTTTCGCGCTCGCTGTAGAGCGCACCATTTTGGTTTCCTCTCCGCCCCCTCTCCTGGGTACGTCTGAAGCAAGTGTAGATTATACTGGTTGTATCTCCGTTTTCCATCACCGAAAGGCCACCCGCCTTAGGCAGGATTGCATCTGTCCGCTTTGATTTAAATCGACTGCCTCGATATATACTCAACGATATATACGTTGCCTTTTTCCCTTCCCTCCCAGCGTTCCCCTTTTCGGTCTCATTGCAAGCGTACAAGACTCTTGTGGAAAAAAAAAGATACCCCCCTCCCCATTTCAGTGTCTCAAAACATGGCTTGCTGCTTACCAGTTAAGAAGTACTGTAAATTTACCTTTGCGAATTTCAGATAATCAGTGGCAGACCTTAATTTGGCAAGAACATGACACCATAGTTTTCATTTAGTTTAGGATTTTTGGTTTTGGTTTTTTTTTTATGGCGGCAAATATTTACAGTACTCAACAGACGCAGGGGGACCCGGAGGCTGAATTTAATTCTGTGCTGAGGAAACCCTTCAAATAAAGGAGATTTGCAGCAAATGAGAAAGAAACTCGGAAATGATCCCTCCCTTTTGGAATGTACTGCCCAATCGAGAGCTGATGCCAGACTCCTCATTCTGGTGGCAGTGGAAAATGAGCAGAACCAGCTATGCTGAAATAATTGTTATGCTTTATAGCATCTGTAAAGGGGGAAAAAAGTACATTTTCTAGAACAAAAACTTGATTGAAAAGTTAAAACCTTGACTCCTGTTAAGGTTCGTTTGCAGCTTTGAAATATATATCATGCCTGAGCTGCAAAAATCCGGATGACAACTAACTGGCTGTGAAAAAATACAGAAAACTCAAACTCTGCTGCCATTTCACAACCATCCAGAGTTTTGCAGTCCAGATACAATATCTCTGTTTGAAGCCCAGACTTTAACAGAAAAGTAGAAGCTTATTCAGAAATACCTCTACAGAATACAGTGGCTCTTCTCAGTAAGCATGTTCTTCAGTACTGATTTCTAAAAAGTGATAAACTTTGAAGAAGACCTGAATTCTGCTGAATGTCAGTTCCATAGAGTTAAAGTCAGGAATCTCATCAAATACACCTTGTTCCAGCTTCCTCCCTGTTTGTTCCAGTCTGGCAACAAATGAACACTTCTGCAAGCCCCTTCCTCAGCTGCTGAATACTACTTGGTGGCCCCCCACAGGAGCACTTAAGTAGTGTTCATAGCTTGGTAGCATTCATGCAGAAGTAAGCACCATTGGTATCTGCATGATAATAGCCAGTAGTGCAAATGCTGTCACAAAAATGCTGGTACTGTGGTTGTACAACAACAGCAGCTGTATAGCTATCCCAATTGTGGAAATAATTGTGGCTTGGGTAGAGTAAGTATGGCTTTGGCACATGGGCAGTAGACTTGTGCCCTTGTGAAGCTTGCAGTTTGCAACAAATATGAACTAGGCTTGACTACATTAGTAGGTTTGATTTCTTTCATCAGTAGTTAGCTTGTGAGAATAGTTACTTGCAAGGCTAAGTTGGCTCCAGAGATATCTGTACCAGCTCAGAAAGAAGATTTCTGATTTCTGTTACAGACTTGGGATTAGTTTGAATGATTTCCAAGAAATCTCTTGAGAATAAAATATTTCAATGAACATCATATAGTAGTGGAGGCTTTGTCTTTTGAAACTTGTCTGTTGATAGCTCTGATTATATCTGTTTAAAAACTGATTTGGTTATTTATCCCAAGTCTTGTCTAAATAGAAGATGTCTCATCCTTTTGTAGTAATTTATCCTCTGTAAAATCCTATGATTCCTTTGGGGTGTGGTGTATGTGTGCCTTTGAGTCAGTTTTTGACTCCTGGTGACTGCCTGGACTAGGCCCTGCAGTTTTCTTGGCAAGGCTTTTCAGAAGTGGTTTGCCATTGCCTCCTTCCTAGGGCTGAGAGAGAGAGAGAGAGAGAGAGAGAGAGACTGGCCCAAGGTCACCCAGTTGGCTTTGTGCCTAAGGTGGGACTAGAACTCATGGTCTTCTGGTTTCTAGCCTAATGCCTTAACCACTACACCAAACTGGCTCCCCTTAGGGTGTGGATCCCCTAAATATTTGATGAGGAACCAGAATCTATTGGCATCTCTACACTATGAACTTCATGTCACAAAAACAATAAGCATTTCCAGTTACCTTCTTAATTTCAAAAAAAAATATTTTTTTTTAAACTTTAATTGCATGTGCAAAACACTAATGTTAACAATGGGATGAGCTTCCTAGAAGAGGTGCTAGGAGCTACGGTATGTCAGAATAAGCTAGAGGAAAAAACAGGAACATTCCAAAACCAGATGAAAATATTTCTACAGCAGTTAAATCTCATAGTGGAAGTACTACTAATAGATGATGATCAGCTGGTTCAAGAAGTTATGTCTGTTCCAGAAGCCCAGCTACAAAAGCATCTGGGGTGGAGTAGCTGACGAGTTCCCAAGAAAGTATGCGCGGCTGAAGAGTTTAGAGCTAGAAGAGCTTCAGCCAGTACAGGAAAAGACAGGAGGCTTTTCCAAGCCAGGAATTTGACTGCAGGGGTGAAAGTGTAAAGATGGCAGTGTGCAACCTGAATGTGCCTTGACCATTGAGGAGAAAAGATAGAATTCTCAATAATAAAAGGATTGGCAGAAGAAAGATGTTGTACAGCCAGGAAGATCTACACAGTCACAGCTACGTCCTGGGGCTGAGGCTAATAATTACCCTAATATGGGAAACTTCCATGTGTGTCCGTTGGGAGGGAAGGGAAGTAAGAGGGAGAAGCAAAAGTAGGAGGTGTATGTAGGGGTAGAACAACCATTAGAGAACAGGGTGATCTAAAATTGTTGGTTAATTTTGCCTCTTGGGTACCCCAGGATGGAGGGGATTCATTCTTTCGTGTTTCTGTGCCCTAAAATAAAGCCCCAGGTGCCTATGAATTTGGGGGCAAGAGGCACTTTGTGTAAGTGTTCTGCCTCTGATTACTTTATAATTTATCCAGCAGATACTTCCTGCTGCTAACTTGAGTAAAATAACAGAGATGGTCCTGAGGAATTTTTCCAAGATGTTTGTGGCAGGACTTTGACTTGGAGTTTGTACAAAGGAATGTGCTGGGCCATTTGGAACCCCCTAGCTAAACCACAAGGGGAAAAATAATTGTTCATGAAAAACTACGGTTTTGTTTGGGGTTTTGAAGGCTTGAGTACAGCAATGGTAGAGAGGGACATTGTAGAATTTAAGCTTAAGTGAAAAAGTTCAGAACTAGTTCAGCTGGAAGAAAGGGCCCAAGAAATATATGTCATTTGGGGGTGGATTACAATTTGGGAAGAAAGAACACTTCCTTTCCCTGAATTTCACTTCTGTTTGGCCAGCCAATATCTGTTCATTCAACATGATGAAAAGGAGACAGAACGTTACCTGATGCATACAGCCTGATCAGATTTTCACTAAACCTCTTTAAATGTTCATGTTTCAGGCATGCTACATCTTTGGAAAGTGCCCCATTTCTCTTATGTTGCTGCATTTCTGTGAGTCAAGCATTACGAATATGTCAGGAGGTACTGAGTCAACCTGGACATTATTTTTGCAAGAATCTTCATAGAAACAGCATGTGCTGTAATTCTTTTGACTTAACACCTGTGAATAATACAAAAGTATCTCAAACAAGAACAGATTAGATGACTTAATAACAAATGATGTTCTTAAGCCAGCTGTTTGTAAGAGGACTCACCAATTTCTCAGAAGCTGGAAGGCCCTGGCTGGGAATTATGGGAGCTTTTATCAGACAAATGTAAAAGACACAACTTTTGGTAAGACTTTCAATAACATGTACTAAGGTAGCAATGAATTCTAGCAACCGGAAACTGTTTTTAAAAATCTCCTTTATGCCATGATTGTTAGAAAATGCCTCTAGGCAAGCCATAAGACTCAGCTCCCCCCCCTCACAACAATAAAATGTGATAATTCTTTCATGATTGCTTGCTTGAAATGTGTGTCTCAATTTCTAGGAGGCAAAATGTACAGAAATTAAAATTACAAATCCTTTGAAAAAAATACATAGGTATACAAATTATAAATGCAACTCCTTCAGGAGACAGGCTTGGAACATGCAAGAGTGCATACGAAGCACCTCTTCAGATTAATAAAGTAGCCACATTTTTTTCCAAGACCTATACGGTTGCTTTGGAAGCTCTTTCCAGCTTTCTCTACATGTATGTGCATGTACAACTTCACTTTTCCCAGCATGCTGAGAAAACTCGGACCTCTTTTCAGGACCATGTGGCTGTTTCAGAAGCTGCCCCTGGGTGTTTTCTGCATGCTGAGAAAAAAGCAAAGCACGGTGGCTGTGCATGAATGCACATGTATTACGCAGCTGGAAGCAGCTTCCGAAACACCCACATGAGACTGGAAGACATGGCCTTCTTTAACAGTTTGAAAACAGATTCTTTGTACATATGTCTTCGTGCACGTTCTGAAGCACCACTTTTAGAGGAGTTGCATAGTCTTAAATGTATATTCATTACAGCAGCAGGAAAGCCCCAGTGTAAAGATTTAAGACTGTTCATATGCAATTTCTCTCTAACTGATATCAGTAGCGATCATTTAGGAAAACTAAGACTGAATCTTTTCAGTTCTTATGTTCTAAGCAAAAAACTGAGTACACAGAGCTTCATCTTCACAGTTCAAATGGCTTCTGTTGCATGATCATGGAAAGTGCAGGTGTAACACTTGAGGTTTATTTATTTATTTTACAGAATACTTTAAATATTTTAAATGCAATATATAAATACTGTGGAGGACAGTATGGGAAGAAGAAGAAGTTGATTTTCTGGCAAGAAACTATATAACCAAACCATGAAACAGGTTACAGTGGTTACAAGAAGATAGTGATGGAAAATACAGAGGTGTCTTTACATGTTGTTTTGAAAGAAAGCTAAAGAAAAGGGCATCATATGTTCCAGTGGAAATAGTAACACAACAGTTAATGACTCTATACAGTAAGAAGTTTAAAACATAGTTTCCTTATTTTTAAACATGTCTTGCCCTGCAAAATTTAAAATGCTCTGCTAGCAGGAGAAATGAGTGGACAGAAGTAGCCAAGTAGCAAAGATACATTGGTGGCATGGCTGAAATGGGGTACAAGGTCAGCAGAGAGGAGCACCTAGATGCTGTGGTCATGTCCCAGCCAATGACAGAGGGTTATACCAACCATGGACTTGGGAAAACCCTGTTTTTTTTTCTTTAAGTGCTCTTCCCACAGCATATAGTAGAATCAAAGCACTGGACTACTATCAATATACAGAGAAACCATAACTCAAATGATAGACCAGAGCTTTATCCCTTGAGATTACATACACTTATAAGGGGGATGTTGGTGAAGGACAAAAGGGAGAAAGGACACTCTTAATAGTCTAGCTTAACAGTAGAAGAACTTCTGAAAATTGTTAACACTTCTCGGTTCCACCAGATACCCCACCTTGGGTCTTCAAACACAGTTCCTCAAGTGGGGTTACAGGCAGAAGCACTCACACACACAAATAATGGAAGGGAGCACCTGCCAAGGAACTCTGGGAGTTATAGTTATGATACAACTGAATGGTGCCTTGTGAGGAAGACTGGTGTTTTAGCTACAGCAGGGCTTTTTGTTTCTGCATTATAGCAACACAACTCTAATGTAATTAATGTATACCAGCAGATACAATCTGGAGGTCCCCCAAATTCCACAGTCTCCAAAAGTTGTCTTTAAATGGTAAGTTTGAAATGTGATTGAAAGGGAAATTATTAAATATATAAAATATTATTGCAAATGTTCTCTTTCCGCTTGTTTAGTCCAAAAAGTCAAACATTTGCACTTGAATGAAAAGTTACTTATATTAACTGTAGTTTCTCTAGTTTTACAGGAATGTAATATGTGATTAACTTTTAATTCAAATTAAATTAATTAAATGTAGATAATATGATTACTTCCCACTTGTTCAATAATTTGCTCTTTATGTCACATTAAAAGTGACGACTTTTAGAAGTGTTCTGGTGCCTGCAATTTCTGACTTTCAAGGGTGGCAGGTTGGTTTGGTCTGGGAGTTTAACTCATTTTTCCCCAACCTGATGTCCTTCAGTCTTCATAATTACTAGCTAATGCAAAAGACAGTATAGCGATTGTGGAAACTGGAAGACACCAGGTTGCGGAAAAATGGGTTTCTGCATTCTGCAGGTTCTCATGTTCCATTAGTAACTACCATTCATCACAACCATCTAAGAAGTCTTAGGTGCTTCATCAGAAAGGACAGGATGAGGACAATTTGGGCATCATTGTTGGTTCCAGCCAATTCATTCTCCCCTGCTAGATTTGGAGCAAGGAGAAGTGTGTCGTCATATGCAGAGCAAAAATGTAGGCTAAAGCAGTTTTCTTGGCACCATGTGGTTTGCTGCTGCCTTCTTCCTAGGGCTGAGAGACAGTGGCTGGCCCAAAGTTACCCAGCTGGTTTCACGCCTAAGGTAGGACTAGAGCTCCTGGTCTCCTGGTTCCTAGCCTGGTACCTTTAACCATAATACCACACTGGCTCTCTAATACAATTTGGAGATTGTGTAATACCATCACTGACCATTAGGGTGTCAACCTTAGCATTGCATTTCTTGACTTTGCAGAGTGTAATTTGGCAGACATTTAAAATGATGTAATACCTTGTAGTCTGTGTAAGATAACTGAATCCTTTTTGTCATCTTTCCTTTTTTTTTTTTTGATTTTGGGTTTTTTAAGCCATTTCATCACCTTTAATTATTGCTTACTGAAATGGGGATTCTATAACTTAGTTGAATCTACGTTTCTCTTGAATCAATTAATTATGTCAACTTTATTTAACTAATCTTAACTTTAGTATACTGCTTTTGTTCTGAAATTGAAATTGTCTGTGATGCAAGACTGAATAATTAATTCATATAAATGAGGTGCCCCATTTAAAATTTTGACACTTAGCCACTCTGTTTCAAAAAACAGCCTTCAAGTTGAAATACCCAGCAATTGAATTTTCAGTTTTCTTAAACATAATAGACAGATTTCCTTATTCTTATATCCAGATACTTATCTGATAGAATGTTGACTTCTAAGTAACACGTTTTACTTCTCTCAGAAACAATATGTGTGATGATCTCATTTTAGATGTACATGTGGAAAGAGATTTCATTATACAGCATGTTAAATATCAACAGAACGGACTCCACTTTCTTAAAAGCAGTAACTTTTTTCCTCTAATGTTAATAGTTGATGGTACTATTCTGGCAAACCTTTCAATTTGTTTTGTTTTCTTGTTTCAAAACCAATTTCTTGTTTCCTGTTCATGTTTACTTAATTCCATTTTCCATGCCCCCCCCAGTTCTTCCTTTTCCTTCCTCTATCAGTTTTTAAAATATTTATGCTTTATTGTGCTTTTCTTGGTTAACTTCAGTACTTCATTAAATTTTCTATCCTATAAATTTAGCTTGCCCTCTATTTTCAAATTCATTTTTTTCCATCTTTCTTTCAAAGCCTTTAGTTTTTCACCTTATACTTGATTCATCATATATTTTTAAATCTTTTAGTTTTAGTTAGATCCTCAACAAATGTTTAATTCTGTTGAAAAGATGGATTTAACACCCATCAAAATTGATGCCATTTCTTATTTTCTTCACCATTTTAGTAGCATTGATTAGCTAATGAAGCTGTATTTCCTGCTTTGCTTTGTATAGCCATGGAAATTAATAACTATATTTTTTCTTTACCTAATTTTTATAAGAATTAATCTCTGTATTCATCAAGCAGTTAATACAATCATCAAATAACTTTTCCATTCAGAAAAAGGAAAACAAGGTATCATTTACCTTTCCCTGACATTAATTATATTACATTTCTAATAGTTACTCAAAGTATTACATTAAACCACTGTGTATTTAATTAGTTTCCTATATATTATAAAATCTTTCATTATGAAGGAAGAAAAAGGATGGGGGAAAGAAACAAATATGATGTTCACAAGTGCTGCCCTCAGTCAAGTACAGATCCATAATTTAGGCCCATCTTTCACGTGATCCATGAAAGATTTAGACACAGCCCCCAGAACTCTCTTCTTGTGGCAATTAAATTATATTTTTCAATGTAATAAAGGAACAAGCTACTAAACAGTGGGGGAATAATCATAAAATAATCAGATCAATAATCAGAGTGTTCTGTGGGCACTCTGGATTAAGTCCCCAAAGATGTTTCAGGGCCTGCATGAATGCAGCTACAACACTTATCCACAACACCTTAAAGCTGCTGTTCCCGGGATTGTATGATTGCTGCTTTGTGCTTTCTCAGACTCCTGAGAAAAAACATGGCTGTTTTAGGATGTCACAGGCAGCTTCTGCATGCTCCAAAGCACCTCCTGGGGATCAGATCTGAAGTGCTGTACAACCTTAATGATAGTAATGATGCTAATGTGATTTCATTAAATGTAAATTCAGATTTAGTTGTAGTCTTGGCCCTATTTATTTTGTGGACCCTTTTAAAATCCTTTGCATACCAGTCAAAACACAAATGTAGCCCTTGATAGAAAATGTTGGGCAGTGCTGCTGTAAAGCTTCAGCAGAATTTTCAATCTTGAACTGTTGCCAGAAGAGGTGTAAGCCTTTCTGGTGCTCTCCTCCAGCAGCTCAGAGTTTATTTTGTTTCACTTTTTTGCTGCAAGATGTCTGGTGGAAATGTCAGCCCATTTCTCCACTTCCTCAGGGGAAAAAGAGTCCAAAATAGCTGCTGGCCAGTGACTTTGTCTAGTGTTTCACTGGGGGAGAGGAACAA